TTTTTTTTTAACAAAAAAAAAAAAAAAAAAAAAAAAGATCCGATAGCCCGTGAAATTAGCTCGGCAGCACCCGACTTCCTGATGCATATTCATTTGTATTTAAGGAGCATGCTCGTGGCGCCACATTGATGTTTTCTCGATTAAGAAAGGCGTGTCACGTGTGAAATTTTTCATTTCTTTAAAATTCTCATGTTTTGCGTCACGAATTATGTCTCGATCGAGTCTACTATCTGTTGCTTGTTACAGTGGTGATAATAGGGTATCTAAAAATCTTTCTCTGAAGTCTCTCCCGATTTTGGTTACGTGCGATTCGCGAGATAATGTCCAGAGGATTCTTAGGTACGGCACATCTCCACGTAGAAGGCTCTTACAGTCTTTTATTAAAGCGCACAGTTTGGAAGTACGTCCCAAACGAAGATTGTGTCACACTGAAAATGAATACAAAGGGTCTGGTAGTCAGACTAATTCTGAATTAAATGTGAGGAAGCTGAGACAAGAGTTGGCCAAGGAGAAGAATACCCGTAATGGACACGATACTAGGAAATCATATGAAACTCGGAAAAATCCATTTGGACATCATGATACCGATGGAAATATCACCGATATATTCTGTCCAAGACTATTCGGTGAGCAGAATGATTCACTGAATGAAAACTTTCTGCCGAACTTACATCCGCTCTCAAGAGCTTTGAATATCTCTTCTAAGAGTCTTGATCTTGTGCCGAGAAACCCCTCAGTTGGTTTAATTGACTTTCAAGAGAAGATCGAATCTGTAAAGCTCAATATTTTGCATCCTGTCGAGAAAGGTAACATTGAGAGTTTGGAAAATCAGCAAGAGATCCTAGAACAGCCAAGTGAATCGGAGAAAGAGAAATCTAAAGATGAAGTTCAGATAAATTTGATGAATTTGGAAAAGGCAAAAGAGCCGAAAAAAATTGACTTCAGCCGCGGTGATGATTCTTGCTTGAACGAGGAACTTTTACCCGATGAGAATCCATGCAGGTCCGACGCGGCACAGTATAAGTATACTGTAGAGTTGGAAGCTGCAAAACGATCTGTTCAATGGAGTAACGAGGTTGATGTTATCTATTATGCAGGGGATGCTAATGGAGGTGCGTGTTTATCGGTACATACTGATTCGTATGATATGTCAAAGAGAATGAACATATTTCGGTTTGACTTTGATTCGGTAGGTAAGGTAATACGACGTAAAACAGAGCCACTACGAGAAGAAGCAGATCAGCAGGCGCGACACAAGCATTTTATAAATATGGCGCTGACCAGAAGTCTATTGTCAGGAATGAATGCCAGGGGTAGATTGATCAATCCCAGGATCGCCCTGTTTCACAAATAAAATTTAATAGGAAATAACCGAAAAAGACCGCATATCAAATAGTATTATCATAAGATCCAAAGATGTCTGGATATATTTTTTATTTATTTTCTTTCAATTTGGTACGTTTTTATTCGCGTCTTAACATAATGTTAATCAGTGTAAATCGTAATAAAGTATCGAGGAAAGATAAGTTAAATTTAATTATGACAACTAAAAGTTTTTATTTTTTGACTTATTATTACTCTTTTATGCGTTTCTCCTTTGTATCTTCATTAGTATCAATTGATTTGTCCGATCGTACTTGAAGTATTTAGGAAAATCTATCTTTATTTGCTCAATGGACCAATGGAGATTATGTCGACGAACGCACCGCAGAAACTCTTCATACATTGGCGCGACAGAATCTAACTCCGCAATGGTAAAGACGTATCGTTTTTCAAGTGCGACATAGGCGACTTCAGGGACCTTTGAGTTCAGAAGTTTTTCTAAAGTCCTCACAAAACCATCCGTAATATCATCGTCATAGATGACTGTCAGAGAAGAGGTACAATTATTAGTTTACCCAACGAGGAAGCAATAAACAAATATACTACTAAAATCTACTGACCATCAGCTGCTAAGATGATACTTGAAGAATATAATTTTTCCTCAAGTTCCTGGGACCAATTCAACTTTAGAAAATTCAGTTCAGTTATATGAAATTTCGACTTGATCAATGACTTATTTCTGGCAAAATTCCTCTCTATCAGCTTCAGTATACCGCCAAGATCAACATCTAGAAGAGAAGCCACGTTATCATTGAGAAATCCTTTTACACGTAAGTTACAAGGATCGCAATAAGAACTGTAATGCGTGGTAATATTACCCGTGCAAATTACTTCATTGGCGAAAAAGCCGGCGACGATACTAGTGAGACCAACACCGGATCCTAATTCCAGAACTGTCCGTTCTTTGAATAACTTTGGATTCGACAGAATATAATCAGCCAGCAACAAAGCACCTCGCCATAATTGCAAACCTACCAATTGCAATTCTGTAGAACCACCGTGTTCTGTACAAATGGAAGAAAATATTTGTAATTTACAAATTGCCAATTGATGCAATGCCATTACAATTCTTACCAATCAGTAGTGTGCCCTGTTTTCTTCTTTCGACTATCAGATCGCCATCTTCATCGTAGCGGAGTTTATCCATATCTGTAGTCGCTGGATATTCGAAAAAATATTTTGATACCACGTCTGCAACAACAATTACAGTATTAGATAGACTTTTGAAAATAAACTAAAAAATATTAAAACTCACTGCCTTCGTCGGTCTTCTCAGAGAAATTCTCGAGTTCCGTGTGTATTTCCGATGTCACCTTGTGCATGACGGTGTCGCGTCAAGAGTTTTGAATGCGACTAAGTTATAGTATTTGAATAATTCTTTTTGTGTTCGATGTAGCAGAACTTGGACTAATCGAAACGCCGTTCTGGTTATCTTACGACTGTTTTGCTTGACTATCGACGAAGATTAATAGTTGGTCAGTACCACAGCTCCTCTATTAATAGAGAACAGAATGGCCCTGTCGGGCCCTGTATATGATCTCGCACGTTATACTAATATTAAGCAATATAGTTGGCATGTAACTGAAGGTTGACTAAGTTCACAACTCTTAACGGTGTTAATTAATTTTTATATTAATTTTCAGCAACAGAATTCACAGGTTGGCAAAGAAAAGGATCCGCGTCGAATGTTAACCGAAATCTTACTGACGCTTGTTTCTCTATTTCGAGAATTTCTGACTTAACGAGACTTACATAATGTATTTGAAAATTTTAGAACGTTTACTGGTTAATTAAAGAATTTGCATGAAAATAAAAAAAGCGCGGACTGGTTAGCGATATTAGAAACCAAAACCCGCTGATACGACAATTAATTTGCATCGCTGACCGAAATGGCAATTCCTTGACAATGACCTGGTTTGTAAATTATTAAATTCGTTAAGGTAATTTACAATTTTAGTCTCATTATTGCACTAATGACAGCATCAATGTGGTATCAGTGGTTACGGTTCATTGAGCTTGAGAAAATTAGGTTGTACATAATTACATACAATAATGTTCGGTGAAGTCTAAATGACAGAGCCTCATTCTCTGTTCCATGGTGAATCCACGGGATTCAAATATAGCATCAAAGAAATACAAAATCAGCGTCTGCGCAAGAATCAGCCCGGCAATGATTCAAACTAGACCGCATGACTCGATGATTCAAGATTTGAGGCGGAGCATCTTCAGTGGGAAAAATACTCTCCCACTTGCAGGAATATTTAATGAATAACGGTACCGTTCATTGGTTTGATTTAGTCGGTTCTGTCTTCCCACAACGCCGAACCTTAGTTTCTACTACGTGAATCAATAAGAGTTCTCAGCAAAAACGGCATTCACACTTAATTCATAGAAAATTACAAAGTCGACGTTCCTACAAATAGCTTTCCATAAAAACCATATGTATAATATATGTTCTCACAAAATTAAATTTCTAATATAGTTTCTACAATATAATGACCATTCCTTATAATCCAGAATGCTTTCTAGATCTATGTATGATAGATAAAAAATAAGTCAGATATTCAATGAAAATAGGAGTAGATGTTATTGAACTTTGACATAAAAAGAGTTCATCAACACTGGATTAGAATAATGACTATACATCCGTGTTAGGCTGACGACTAATCTCTCAGAGCACCGTTATCACCAGACACAGTCTTGGTATGGAAATCATGTAAAGTAGAGTTCTTCTAGTGTTTTGCTATCAGAGCTACACTGCCCCTGTTGCAGACCGTTGATAGCAAATGATTAAAACCTTTAGGACTTCAGACAACTGGAAGAGCAATGACTGTAGTCATGGAAGTTAAGGAATAAATCGCGTGGACGTACATACATATATCCTTGACGTTGGCACCAGTTGGCAGGAGCCAATCAGAGTTCACCACGACCGACGCGGTTCTGCCACGCGTTAAAGCGCGTTCCACGGACCGTGTAGCTCGTTGCCCCGTACCACGGACTCCGCACTCGTTTCGCGTTCCTCGTCGTTGCTGTAGGGCTGTTGTTATTCCTTTTGTGTGAGGGCGGCTTTTCGGTGTTGTTAGATATTAATATATCGTGGTAGGACAGAAGGAACCTTCTTCTGACGATAAAGGAAAAGAGAGAACACCATGAAGGCCCTGAGGAATATCGTTGTGACGATACTCTGTCTTACCGCTGTTTTCGGTGTAGACATTGAATCAGAGGATGGTGTATTGGTCATCACCAAGGATAACTTCGAGAAGGCACTCAAGGATCATCAGTACATTCTAATTGAGTTCTGTGAGTTTGTATTCATATTTGTATTTAACTTATATTTTCTACGTTGTAGAAGCTTTTTTTGTTCATCCGCAATCCCGTCTGTCGACCCGTGTCGTTATCATTGTCTCTTTGAATAGTAACGAGATCGGACATGATTTTTGACCGTTCGAATGTGGATATGCGTTATCTTATTGTTCTTCGATAATGGAATTTATAGATCTTTGATGTGGTCCTGGAGTTGGCTTTTCAGTAAAAATGCGTAGCTAAATGAAAAGTATGTAGATGCGCATGCGACTAAAGAAAGAGCAACATGTGACTTTTGCATTTTGCTTAGGAAAATAACTGTGAGATATTCTTGAGAATAAAGATTGAGATGTCAGTTTGGATTTCATTATTAACGTTTTAATTAGTCGATGAAAGTGGTGGATGTTACCGGATCTAAGGGAGTCCATTCATTGGTCATCATGTAGTTCTCTCTATCTCTCTCTCTTTCTTCTTCGCTGCTTTCGGTACTCTTTCTCCATATCGCTTCGAAGCTCTCCCTTTTTTGTTGCGCAGAATATTACATCGAAATGCCAATGTAGTTTGAAGATCTTCAAGATGTGATGAATTGGTTTCCATATGGTAGAGATTCTCTCTTGTAGAATTCTTTTAAATCAATGACTAATTTTCGAAAGCTTCAAGTTTATTTGATGTTATTTGTTATAGATTTAAAAAACTTTATTTGCCATTTATTGCTCTTTTGGGAAGAATTCGATTTTTATGATCTTTGAACAGGTTTCTTATGAGAATCTAAAGGAAATGGGAAAATTCAAATTTTTCTTGCAGATGCTCCATGGTGTGGACACTGCAAAGCTTTGGCTCCAGAATATGCAAAGGCTGCACAGAAATTGGCAGAACTCAATTCTGAAGTTAAATTGGCCAAAGTAGATGCTACTATTGAAACTGAATTAGCTGAGAAGCATGGCGTGAAAGGATATCCCACACTTAAATTCTATCGTAAAGGATCCGTCATTGAATATGGTGGTGGTCGTCAAGCTGATGATATTGTTAACTGGGTTGTTAAGAAGACTGGACCAGCTGCTAAGGATTTGACTTCTGCTGAAGAAATCAAATCCTTCATTGATAACAATAATGTAGCTGTTGTTGGATTCTTCAAGGTGAGAGTCTTAGAAGATTCCAATGTGATTGGTAAAAAATGAACAATCAGATGTTGCGCAAAAGTGGAGTTCTCTGATGTACATTTTTAAAAACCCTTAGAAGTATAACCTATCTTTGGATAATCTAAATGGATTCATATCAGTTTAAACATTTTATATTCTCTTTTAAGGAGTCCCAGATATCAGAAAGTCCTTTTGAACAAAATGTCGCCACCTGCTTACCTCCAGATTGAAGATACATTTTTCATTTTTGTAAAATTTTAATAAAATCATATACGTATTTCATTTTTGATTCTTAGAATAGACTGTTATATGTTATTTTAGAGGAAAGCAAATATCTTACGGTCTATCGCGAGTAAGTTTGTCAATAGAAATATTATCCTATTACATTGTGGCATCTCTAGAAAAACTCCATTTTTTTGCAACTGCTGCACATACACGATAATAAGCTATATATATAGGTATATAAATGTGTAAATGTATAACAGGATAATGAGTCAGAAGCTGCTACAGTCTTTTTGGATGCTGGTAACGCCGATGATGATCACAATTTTGGTCTAGTCAAGTCCGAGGAACTGTTTGGTGAATATGATGCAGAGGATGGTACAATTATCCTATTCAAAGATGTATGTTATTAAGAGTCTTTGTAATATTAGTAAATAGGTACAACAAAATCTTTATGTAACCTAATAATCTATATTAACTTTTGTCTGTATAGTTTGACGAAGGCAAGAGTAAGTTCGAGGGTGAACTCAATTTAAAGAATCTACAGAGCTTCATCACAATTCAGTCTTTGCCACTGATTGTTGACTTCAATCAGGATACTGCACAGAAGATCTTCGGTGGCGATATAAAAAGTCATCTCCTTGTCTTCCTCAGCAAGGATGGTGGTCACTATGATAAATACGTTGAAGAACTCAAGGAGCCAGCAAAGAAATTCCGTGGAGATGTAAATAAATATTAAACTGAAAAATCTTAACACGTTCCGTGCTGCGTGCGGCGTATAAGCCCCACGCTGCCTGTTCGGAAAATAAAAAAAGTTCCGGGACGGAACGTGTTAATGGATAATATTACAATTATCGCTCTTGCAAAAACATATTTTTATGTCACTAGGTACTGTTCGTAACCATCAACGCTGACGACCACGATCACGAGCGTATCTTGGAGTTCTTCGGAATGAAGAAGAGCGACGTTCCCGCCATGCGGCTTATTAAACTTGAACAGGACATGGCTAAATACAAGCCAGGAAATCCTGAAATCTCCAGCGAGAATGTACTGAACTTTGTAACTGCTTTTACTGAGGGTAAACTCTCGAGGCATCTCCTTACCCAAGATGTACCTGAGGACTGGGATAAGAATCCTGTCAAGGTTCTCGTCGGTACCAACTTTAATGATGTTGCCCTTGACAAGAGCAAAAATGTTCTTGTTGAATTCTATGCACCTTGGTGTGGACATTGCAAAGAACTTGCGCCTATTTACGACAAGGTCACTAAAAAGCTTAAAGATACTTAATGCTCTATAATATCTCGAAATGAATTTTTCAATTTCTATCATTCATTTATTTTTACAGCTGGGTGAAAAATACAAGGACAGTGAAACTGTCGTCATAGCCAAGATGGACGCCACTGCCAACGAATTGGAGACTGTTAAAATTAACAGTTTCCCTACTATCACGTTATACAAAAAGGACACCAATGAGGTACAGTACATAGCGGCAAGATTGTTTTATGTTATACCGAAAAATTTCATCAGTGTATTTATTGATAGAACTTAATTTTTGCAGGCTGTTGAGTACAATGGCGAACGGACACTCGAAGGATTCATTAAATTCATCGAATCTGACGGCAGCTATGGACAAGCTGCAGAGGAGGTTAATAGATCTACTCTTTATAATTTAGTTAGATACATTTTTGAAGGTAATAAAGACATGTTCAACATCTCATACGGATATTACGTACTGTTCACAGGTACAGGAGGAGGATGAAGATGACGACGTGCCAAGGAAAGACGAATTGTAAACAAACGAATTCGTTATCAAGAATTTAAAATGATTCCAATTCTCATTTTCATCTTCCCTTGACGTCCGAGTAAAAAGCGAAGCCTCCATGATCAATCCGAGGAGCTAAAAAAGAAAATTCTATATTTCCAACAACAAGATCAGTTCCGAAAAAGGCACTGCATCGTCTCGCGTTACTTCATTAAGCTTAAGTTTATTTGAAATAAAAAAATATTAAAAACCAAAAAAATGGAGAAATATCGAAACGTACATTCAACTAACATGACTCAGTCAGATGGTTCTTTCATGCACAAAAATGGTAACTCGTCGGTTCTCCGCTTCCATTTACTCTTCATGCTTTATAGTCAAATGATTTCTCTTAAATCATTAACGAAATTCTTTTCAACTTTTCTCTAAAACTAATTACTCAAAGTCAAAGTCTTTACATCAAAAGAAATAGTCCAAACACATAAAGACTGACACTGACGAGTAATAATTGCAGTCTTATTTCGCTCATACAAGAACAATGATTATCATGTGACTGAATTATCTAACTTGTCTTTTTTATTCTAACTAAACGTGATAAATTGATATTACAGTGGTTTTCTGCGGCTCGTTGTTCCATACTTTTTTTTAGGGTTCTATATTTTTTTAATACTTTTATATAAGTGTCAAGTCCATATTAGTTTCGCCACAATGTGGTTTTATTGCTCGTCCCGTTGTGACCATCGTATATGTAGCAATTAACAGGTTGTAGTCGAACACTTAATGAACGTTGACCAACGTGTGCGTATACTGAAACTCTTTCAGCAACAATAAATTACATATATTGTTCGTTGCTTAAAATGCATTTATGCTAAGAACCGATTACAACTGCGCTCGAGCTTCAAATCGACTGAGACGCTCGGCGTGAATATTTAGCGATGAGACACAAATTGAGTGATGGGAAAATATTATATCATTAAGTCTCAATTATATAATATTCGTAATATATAAAAGTGTGCGGGGTTAACCTTTTATTTCTGTCCTTTGTCATTGATTCTGTGAACTATACGTTATTACTTGTTACAAGAAAATATACAGACGACAATTCGATCATGCGATTATACGGCCAGCAGGGTTACGACCTTATGGCTAAAACAAACAAAAACTCGGATAAGCCATTTGTATCGAAAGACTTATCGTTACGTGCGATAATAGAACGTTTAAGCAGAAATACGGTTAATATTTTGAGCGAAATATCCACTTTCTGTTTCTTATTCTCCTTATAAATTTGTAAAGAGAACGTTGGACTTTTTCTTTAATTAGCAAGACGAATTTTTATTTTTTTTTTTTAAGGAACAGAATCTTTCTGCTGAAAATTCCACTGAAACTATGGCGAGGCAGAATATTAACTTGTCATATTTGAGAGACTATCTGCAAGATATTTTACGTGCGACTGATCGCACGATGAAAATTTTACAATTCGAATGTGAAGAGGCCAAATTCGTATTACAACCGTGGCACACGGAGACACTAGTGACTGCAGAGATTGGAGAGGATTCTTGTACATGTGAAAAAGTAAGATCACCATTTGATTCTCTGTATAATAAAAATTATGAGCCCTCTACTTGTTTGACGGTCAGTATTTTTTAGGTACCGTCCAGTATTGAGAAGGTAGAAGAAATTGCCTCGGATATTGACAAAGCAGTATTACAAGCGAAGCATCTTAGGGCGAAACTGGGCGACAATATTACAAAAGTGAAAAAACGCTCAAGTGAACTCAGTCTGCGTGATATTTATATGTCAAAGTCAGTTTCACGTGGCAGGAGTGCTGTTAAAGACGAATCATCTTTAAAAAAGTTCTCCAGCATAGCTACTACAAAATCTGAAGTGAAATCAAAGATGCTGTCGAAGCTGTCACCGTATGAATCAACATTTTCTAAAGCCAAGCCACCAGGAAAGTCATTTGCAACTAATGGGCTTAATGATAAGGATAAGAGGAACTCGAGAAGTTTACACAAAGTAGCAGGCACAACATCAAAATACAAACAGAATGACAATCTGAAATCCGTGGCTGCTAAGAAAAATATATTGACACTAAGTAGTGATACGATGTCTCCGGCGGAACTTGGAAAATTAATTAAAAAAATATCTGTCCATGTAACAAATTTCGAGTCAGAATCTTCTCTGAAATCGGACCCAAATTGTCCGTTTCACAAAGACGATGCTCAGAGATTCGTTGAAAAACTGCGTGTTAAAGATATTGATGTTATTGAGGGATTGGATATATTTGGAATTCCACAGGAATTAGTAAAAGTCCTAAAAGTATATTTTAATTATTTAAAAAATGAAATGACCGATGAGTCACCTGTGGATAAAAGGGGTTCTCGAGCAGTTCAGAAATTCCTTACAGAAATCGATGAAATTGTAAGTGAATGCTAGAACTGTGCTTAGATAATCGAGCTAATTTAAATTTTCCATGTTTTACAGAATGATACTAGTAGTTGGAGTCTCGACGGGATGGAAAACACATCTGATCTGACTAGAAGTTTTATATATTTATTTAAAGCGTCTTATACCAAGAATTTAGCGCCAGCAAATATAAGACAACTAAAGTTAAAGTATACACAATTGGATTCTATATGGAAAAGTCTGAATATTCGGAAATTTGAATCTGTGAAAATTGACACACACGAAGAAAAACGTGTATTACAGAAATTTGCAGGATTCGCAGAAATTTGGAACTCTGCTGCATTTTCTTATTTTAATGGTACTTGTTTTTGAATTTTGATCAATATTTAAGTGAATTAAACGTCTTTATGTTTTTAGGAATATCAAAGGCGCAGTGCATAAGGTATACTAACGAGAAACAACTCGTGTCACTCGGCGTAATCATTCAGCGACTCCAACGGGGTCATTATCTAAGGAATCTAATTGATTTACTCACGAATAATGTGATACCTGACTTCAAAACATTAGATCCTACTACCAGTGAATATTCAGTGGCCTACAAAATGATAACTGTAATTGTACAAGTTTTAAATCCACGTAATATCGTCCTTGTTCGTACCGATGAATGAAATTATAGTATTAATACTTATTACGTTAAACCGAACAAGAATTATTTGCACAGGTTGCCATGCCGATAAAGAATTTACTATAGCTTAAAATAAAATTGATTTAACAGAGCTAACCGAAAGCACTGCTACACTACACTTGGGAAAACAACTTTGTAATGAGCCCATGTTTAATTTTGAGTACTAAAAAATAAAGTGATTGAACGATACAATGGAAATTCAGTATGTTTATTCAAAGACACGTGCACAATTTGGAAAAGCTTGTATATTTTCAGAAACCGATAAGGCGGAAGTTGATATTCGACCAGATGCATCTCAGTTGCATAATTTTGTCAGATTAAATCCAGTCAGTCATGGGACTCAATGCAGTAAAAGATATGCCGCTCACGAGGTATTGTTGATTTTAGATAATTTATTAAAATTTATTAGACTTGTAATTTTATGGAATCTCTTTTAAGGTAAATACAACTACGGCAACGTTCAAAGAGGGAGGAATGCATCATGTTGAAGGGGGATGGCCTAAGGATATAAATATGCATGATTTGGAACAAACTGTGAGATACAGACGTAAAATTGAAAAAGACGAATTATACATTCATACGATGCTTCAATTGTTACCTGTAAATATTATTTTATTTACGCCAGATGATTATTTGTAAAAGAATTGACTAAAAAAATTGAGATTCTAATTAACATTTTTAATGGTTTTATTTCTTCAAGCCCATGGAACATTACATTCTACAAAATAACGCTTGTAATATATATGAGCAATATTTTCATGACACGGAACCAGCACCGTTGGTGCAAAGGACGTTTTCACGCACTGTCAATGTCTACCGGGATATTTTACCTGTGAAACGGCCAATTACGCATATTTCCTGGTCACCAGATCAAGGAACACGGTTTGCTGTCAGTTACTGTAACACTGATTTTAAAAAGTCAAGTAACTCCAATCCGGATTCCTACATCTGGGACGTAGGTAGGTAATCACTGTATCTGTTTAATGATCTTCCCTAATATAAAAAAAATGATTTTAGAAAATCCAAATAATCCTTTCATGATCCTGAAGCCATTCTGTCCGGTTCTGACCATGGAATACAATTCAAAGGACAGTAATGCCTTAGTTAGTGGATTAATGACTGGCCAAGTTGCGTCTTGGGACATCAGGCGTGGTTGTGAACCCGTAGAAGTCAGTCTAGTAGAAAACAGTCATAGGGATCCTTGCGATAAGGTCCTTTGGATAAATTCTAAAAGCGGTACAGAATTCTTCAGCACATCCAAAGATGGACAGGTAGAGAAGAGCTAAAATTATGATGTTATCCTTAAGAATGTATTTTATGAATTTAAAGTTATAAATGATTACAGGTAAAATGGTGGGACACTAGAAAGATGCAAGCACCCACAGATACTTTGGCCATGGATTTATGCAAACCCGAGGAACAAGATGTGGACAGAGCGACAGGGATATCCGCCTTGCAGTTTGAACCTTCTATGGGAACACGTTTCATGTGTGGTCTAGAAAATGGTAATAGCTTCATTCCCACAGTCTATAATAGTAATTGTGATAGACGCGTAGTAGCATCTTGAGGTCTTATCTGCTGTCAGGTATGGTGATATCCGGAAATCGTAAAGGAAAGACGCCCGGTGAAAAAATCGCAACTAGATTTAGAGCGCAGTACGGACCGGTTTTGAGCGTCGAAAGGAATCCTACGTTTGTCAAGAATTTCTTGACTGTTGGCGACTGGACGGCAAGGATATGGTCAGAGGATTGTAGAGAATCCTGTATAGCTTGGACGCCGTAAGTCACAACGATCTTTTGGAAATTAATTTAATTTCATAAAGAATATGACTTTTCTCCTTTTAGAGGTCATAGAGATTTATTGACCGACGGTGCCTGGAGTTGCACCAGGTATTCAGTATTCTTCCTAACCAAAATGGATGGTACTCTAGATGTTTGGGATTTACTGGTGCAGCAGGACTCACCAGTTTTAAGCGTTAAAGTAAATTATTGATGCGAATGTTATATTTAAGAGAACTGAAATATTTTAATAATCAGGTGTGCGATGATTCTTTGACGAAGATAAGACCTCACGAGCAAGGACAACTAGCTGCTGTGGCTAGCAAAAATGGAACGACGTACCTATTGGAACTTTCAGAGGCGCTGACTATTAATCAAAAAAATGACAAGCTGCTTCTAACAGCTGTAAGTTTTTCAGGTATCTTCTGACATTTCTCGTAGAAAGCGTCGTGATATTTCAGCTCCTTGAGAGGGAAACTCGTCGTGAAAAAGTTATCGAAGCCAAAAACAGAGAGCTGAGACTGAAAATGAAGACCTACCGCGTTGAGACTGAAGCGGATTCTCAGGATAGTCGTCTTAAGGAAATGCGAAATGATCAATCAGAATTGGAACGCAATGATCCAATTATTTTGCTATCCGAACAAGAATATGAAAGCGCCATTGAAGCGGTAAGATTAATTTTTTTTTATAAACATACTTATAGACGAACATGCAAAATGAAGATGAATTTATATATTTTCAGGAAATAGCGAGACAAGCTTCCATGGATAATACTGAAGTGAATAACAATCATTTACAAAATGGAACAACAATCACAGCCAACTGAATCCAATCCGTGCGATCGTCAAATGAAATGTTGAAAATAAAACGCTGGAAAGGATGAATACGTTCTTTACATTCACGTTTCACGTTAATATTCTTATTCGCCACAGTCTTCTTATCGGTTTTTCCCTCGTGGGCAGCTGCTGTACATATAACACAGTTCGACACTGAGTACACCTGCAATTGCCACCTGGCACTGCCAGACATCGAGTGAATATCCTATTAGTATACTAAACAGTTTAGAAGTAAACCAAGTTTTAATATTGTTACATAAACGTACTGTATGTGATTAATTATCTTGTTGTATACTCGAATACATATTGAACGTTCGTGGAAATAACAGTTGAACATATTGATTGATTTAACTACACCTCCCCACCGCTGATTTACATAATGGCGGAGAACTGCGCCTACAGCAGGTAAAGATATTTTAGTGGTAGGTTATATATGAAAGAAAAAAAGAAAATTTAAAAGAGAAGGATCAGTTTTCATTATGCAAAGTAATGATCGTTCGTTGACAAGTGTTGAGACGTCAAGCACAGTTGTTGACGTGGAGAACAATGCAAGATCTCTTCTCTTGGGGGAAACAGATCTTTCCAGAAGAGCATTGCGTCCTGTTTCACGTAGGACACGTAAATTACAGAGATTAGAAAAGATCAAATCAGCAGATATCGAAATGTCACCACTCAACTCAGAGATTCCCAAATCTGTGAATGTTATGGCTGACATTCATTATGAGAGTGAACGAAATAAGAGTATATTCGCAGAAAGTCCTACATTAACCACATGGGAGGAACAGATTATAAAAGATGATGAGGGGGCAGGTGAGAGCGTGGCGAAACGGGAGGAAATCACAACAGGAACCGCGACAGAAAGTTTTCTTGACCGCTTGAATAAGACAAAATTTGAATCATCTAATGAAGTTACAGAAATAGATGAGACGCAACATAGAAGAAAAAGATGGAGTTGTGCTGTGAAAAATGTGGGAGACCTAAAAGTGAATACAAAACCACGAAGGAAACGTTGGTCCAAGGATACGAAGCTACTCCGACTCCTTGCCGAGAACGAGGCAGGTTCTTCATCTACAACTTCATCAAACAGAGATACCACGTCAAGAAAGGAAAGTAAGAGTGTCAGGGGACCAATCCCTGCTCCTCGTTCAAAACACCTTACGTTGAAAAAAGATAATATCTTCGTGGGAAGTGAAAATCCTGCATTTGAATCAGACCACGAAGAAGTATTAATGATAGAAACAGATTATAAGGACAGAACTAGGATAGAAATGAGAAAGATGGATACTCAGCAAACGTCTTCAGAGGATGAAGATCCTTCTGAAGTAAATGACAATAACACTAATAAAGTTTTTCGTGAAGTGAAGAATGAGAGGGTTAAAACATCTCATGAAAAAGTAGAGCAAGTAGTGTATGAGATTGTCGATGAAACGCAAAATGAAATAACGGAAATACATAATGAACAGCATGATACTTTTATGAATGAAAATAATGACAGAATGATTATGCATTCGCGACAATTAAACGACAGTGATGATTCGACGGTAGAAAGTATGAATTCTTATGGCTCTCAAATTTCTGTGTTATCGGCCAGAAGATCATCTATCAGAACGAAATTAAATTCCCAAAATCAATCGAGTTCTGAAACAAAGACCTCTACTGCAAACTATGACAGTGTTAATAGAAATAAATCATCTGAAAGGATTCGTGAAAAGAGTTCAAGAAGGAGAGAAAGGAAGTCACTAAAGTCTAAGCATGTAGAAGCAGATGAAGAAGAAGAGTTGATAAGGAGGAAGAATAAGAAAAAGAAGAAAAGAAATACAAAAGATAAGAAGAATTATGCGATCCTCCCTCGAGAGTTCACACAGGAAAGGAACATTATCAAAGAAATGAAATATATATCAATAACAATTCATGGATCTGATATGTTGGAAACTGATTACATCACAAAACATCCTATGGTCAAAGTTCACATGGTTGATGAGAATACTGGAATTTATTTAAAAATTATGAACAATAATACAAATAAAGAGACATACTTGCAACCTTTGATTACTGGTAAATTTGACTTTAAAGAAAATCGGTCTATCATTCCAGTATGGGAGGAGGAATTGATTTTTGAGTACGATTTTGATACTGTTATAAAACCTCAAAATGGACGAGTTTTAATTCTTTTTGAAATAGTGGATCTACTTAGTTTTGCTGAGGCTAGTTTCAATTATGATCGTTATGGTAAGTTTCTAGTGATTTACCGTAACTCATAGAAATATATTCATGATTTTTTATCTACAGGTAGCGATGGTTGTTGGTATAGAATTGCTTGGGCTTTTCTGAAACCATTGGGGACAAATGGTGCGATGCATGTTGATAGAAAAATTAGACTTCAACTTTACAAGCCACAAAGAAATCTCAAAAAAGTCAAGAGAACAAGCTGCGAGGTACAATTATATGGTCCAGAATTGAATTACCTAATAACAGAACTATTAATTAACTAACTTCACAATGTTAAAGGTATTCGATTGGTGGAAGTCGAACATTAGAGAAAAATCTCCTGCTAGTCTTTGTGTTACTGTGACTTCAGTAGACCCACCCAAACTGGAGCCAGTTGTATATGATCAGCTAAGTTTGGATCATAGTTTATCTCAGAGAACACATTCTACTAGTAAGAAATCACAAAAGGGATCAGCAAATTATAAAAATATTACACAGTCATTAGATGATAACTGTCAGTACAAAAGATCTAAAGCACAATCTTGTAAAGTTCCAAATGAACTGCTCTTTGAGAGTGAGATCACTGAGAATGGATGCTTTTATGTGTCATTTAGTAATAATGGAAAATACTTGGCCTGCGCTATCTCTGAAGAATATAACAATCCCATAATAGTATATGGCGTAAGTATAAACAATATTCACGTCAATTTTGCTCTTGTTCATTATTATTTTCTTCTGTTAAGCTTAATGAAGATCCTGGAGAAATTCTTGTTCGATTTCTGGGACACAAAAACTTTATTTACTCCTTAAATTGGTCCGAGGATGATCATCATGTATTATCGGTATCCTCGGATCAGACTGCCAAACTCTGGGATGTATTAAACAAGGACGTGCGTTATATTCAGGTACTGTAGACTTTTGAGGGATTAATAAAATAATCAATTAATTAATTGAATCTTCTTCACAGATGCTTCCGCATCCATCATACGTTTACTGCGGTAAATTCGTGCCAGGAAATTCTTCAATTATTGCAACTGGTTGTTACGACCGCATTCCAAGAATCTGGGCGAAAAACGGACGTTCCAAGGTTTACGAACTAGTCCAGGAATTGAGTAGCGTTCATCAAGGATTTATTACATCACTCTGTTTTCGCAAAGACAATACTCTCTTGACAGCAGATAGTGTAGGAATTATACTAATCTGGACTATAAAAAAGAATCGACTGTGCTCTTTGTCCGCCTCATCATCATCATCATCATCATCATCATCATCATCATCATCATTGAATCCCTTACTATTGAAATGGGAATACAGAATGTCCGGAAAGATAAAAATTCGAGAACTCGAGAATATCATTATCAATACCATCCTGATGCATCCGTTGGGTTCCAGACTCCTTGTGCACTCTAGAGATAATTCTCTGAAGATGTTAGATCTGGAAACTCGTGTAGTTCTACAACGGTACCAAGGATTAAAAAATCGAAGGTCAGTGTGCTTGTAATTTTTTTACCTTATTCTCATATTTTTTATTTCCACAATTCTATGGCAAGTTCACACTTTTCCAGAATGCAAATAACAGCGTGTAACTCACCATGTGGAAGTTTAGTTCTCTGTGGCTCCGAAGATTCTACTTTAAACATATGGAACCTCGAAACTGGTAACCTCGTGGCAAAGTACAATGAAAGTCAGAATTCTGGCGCCATAATAACATGTGTAGATTATCATCCACATCGTCATGTGATAGCTTATTCCGTGTTTAAAAATCCAGCAGTAGGAGTGAAAATATTAAAATACGATAGAAATTCTACAGGAAAAACAGTAGGCCTGCAATTGCATGGCAATGCTGAAGACATTTCTGACGTTTCCATAGCAATTATTCGAAATCGCCAAGGGTTTCAAGGTCCATACGACGATAACGAAGCAGCAGTATGCAATTCGCTTACTACGTTGAATAGAAAAAAGAATAAAGAACAAAAATCTATTAGAGAACGATCACACTCTCGAGATCCTTATAGCTCTCTCAAAGATCTCACCTTACAGCCAAATGAAGATCTTGATTATGCAAGCAAACGACGAGAGGCTCTCGCGTTAAGAATAAGAGAATTGAATGAATCCGATGAAAATATCAGAACCCGCAGTGCCAACAGATTAAGTGACATTATTGAGAAAATTGATAGAATCCTATCAAATGCTGCTATAACTTCAAGGAAAAGCTCTAGACAAGATATCGAATTGACTACTAGTTCCAGTTTTTGCGACAGTAGATCGTTAGATAAAGGGAATTCAGATCTAAAGGAGAATCTGATATCGAAAATCAGTGAAAAAAATGTAAACAATAAGAATGAAAAGACAAAGAGTCGTAGGTCGAAATTACAAAGAAGATCGCATGAGGATTTTCCAACTTCAAAAGAGTCTGATAATAATACAGAGACACCTTCTAGTGCACCGGATACAGGCGGGACGTACACAGTAGAAAGTAAAAGCGATCAAGACACTTTTGAAAATGTTAGTAGTGATTATTCAGGACGCAGCAACGCAACCTTTATTATAGATAATGATGATGATGACAATGATGAATCATCTAAGGCTGACCAAAAAGAAAGAAAATCCTAATTAATTGAATATCCGTATCGCTGTAGAGAAAATCAAACGTATTTATGGTGCTGTTAATAAATTCTTTTATACCAAGAAAAAAGAAGTATTGTTTGATCCATCCCAAGTTTCATTCCTGTTACCCCAAATTCAAGAATTTACCATCAATCTTGCTGTGTGATTTGTAACAAGATAAAGTATCTTCACGCAATTGGCCCGCCTTCGTGATTCATAAGCAACATTACTACAATAGTGCGAAATGGAACTTTGTAATGTAAATGACCTAATTTCAATCCAAACATACAGTGACGTATGGTTGCAGGGCGGGAAGCGCCGCGACGTGAGACGTCGCAACAGCGGGTGCGCGACGTTGTGCGCTGAAATCTGAGTATCGCGAAACGACGTTATAGAAAAAAATGGGTGATACCGTTCGTAAATTTGTACGTCTTTGACGAATCGAAACTCCAAAACTCTACGGGTTAAATTGTCAAAACTATGTTGAATTGAAAGTATAGCGCGGTGAAGACTCATTCTCGTAGAACTTCACCAAAGTAGCTAGCCTTCAGTTCTCACATTTTCGGCTAAGATGGTTTCTCTTGTGAAAATAACATTTTTCACTGCTTTCTGTGGTGAGTCCTTTCATTGCACATAGAATGCTTCCTAAGTCAACAAAATTCGTGTTATTCTCTTTGATTAAATGCCATATAACTTTTTTGCATTGCATAACCTTAAATGTACAGGCGATCAATAATGCTTGGATGAGAAGAACCGTAAACACTTTAATTTACTTGGCACAACTACTCCACCAGAAGTTTACATTAAATATAATATATACAATTAATTTAAAAGTTTCCTGTTCATAGTGATCTATATAAACAGACCTGCATGTCTCTTATAAGTGAAATATATTTTAATTTTTTCAGCTATTTTTGCGAACACGGCCGCCTCGCGTGTCTTAGAGCTAAGCGACAGGTGCGAAAAGTCAATAAAATTCATGATTAATTAAGTAAAATATTTTCGCAAGGTATGCTTTATTGTTCTTCTTTCTTGCAGATTCCTGGACATACACAAAGAGGGCCAATGGCTTGTAATGGTAGGTAAAAAGTGAAAATCAAAGGAAAAAACGAAAAGTATTCCGACAATGCGTCTGTTGAATTTCAGATGTACGCTCCTTGGTGTGCTCACTGCAAGAGGCTCGAGCCTGTCTGGGCGCACGTAGCACAGCATCTGCATGAAACGTCGATTCGCGTCGGTCGTGTCGACTGTACAAGATTTACAAACGTCGCTCATTCTTTTAAAATCCGAGGGTTTCCTACTATTTTATTGTAAGTGCTCGTAGCGTAACATAGAGTAACGTAGCTCTATTAAGAATATACACTGTAGGATGGACTTTAGAATATAATTTTTTGGCAGTTTAAAGGGAGACAACGAATTTGTGTATCACGGCGACAGGACAAGAGATGAAATAGTAAAATTTGCTCAGAGATTGAGTGGTCCTCCCGTGCAGGAGATAACAAAGTCTCAGAGCTTTGATACAATAAAACGAGATCGTGACGTATACTTCTTGTACGTCGGTGAAAAGTCCGGTTCTCTATGGGTAATTAAATAATCTATTTGATCGTTAATCAAATTTTCAAAATTGTCTCTGTGCTTATTTTATATGTATTTGCCAATATAGGAAGTTTATCGAAGAGCAGCTGACGTGTTCCAGCCTCATGCATTTTTCTATCAGTCTCATCCACATGTCGTAGGTGAACACGCGCCAGTTCAAAAGGCTCCTGCATTGTTCGTCTATAAGGAGAATTGTCATTATAATTTTACAGGTGAGTAACAATAAATACATTTAACTTATATACAAGTAGTGTTAAAAAAAATGAGAGTATTTAACTTGCCACGTATTATGTGTAGGTCATGACGAATTAGATTTTGAAAAACTAAATAGCACTTTACACGAGTGGGTAAATGCTGAGCGTTTTCCGACATTCCCAAAAATAACGCGTGGCAACATAAACCAAATATTTTTAACGAACAAGAATCTCGTCTTAGCGGTCGTTGAGGAAAATCAGTTGGAAGAAGTGTCGCCTGATATGCTTGAATTTCGTGACATGGTCGAGGAGGTGATAAAGAAGAAGCGTGAAAAATATCACGAGTAAGTGTATCGCTTGAAGCAATGAAAACAAGGATCAAAGATATAGTATATCTGTGTTATACTCTACAGTGACTTCCAATTTGGCTGGATTGCCAATCCTGAATTGGTGAACAGTATGGCAATGATGGTGGTACCACTGCCAAGTTTAATAGTCATTAACACGACCACGAGTCATCATCACATTCCAGAAGATGAGCCAGGAAAGTTGACTCCTCACGCAATAGAAATGTTCCTAGAGCAGATTCGCAATGAAAGCGCACCGGTAATAATAATTAACAACATTGCATTAAAATTCAATGTCTGAATAACTAATTTAGACAATTTCCAGAAATTTGGTGGCAATGGTTGGCTAGTACGCATTTACAGATCATGGTTTGAGATGAGAACAACATTCTCAGCCATGTGGAAAGGCAATCCTATTTTAACGATGGTTCTATTCGGTCTACCGGCTGGTTTTCTGTCTTTGATCTGCTACGGGATTTGTTGTCCGGATATTTTGGACGCAGATGAGGAAGAGGAAGGTATGTTTCATTATTAAGTTGAACTAACGCAGCTGGAAACATTTTTCTTATTTTCTTATAGAATATTCAGCCGGAAGTCACATGAAGAAAGACTAAAAAGAGCTATGCTTAGACGTAAGTACGTTATAAACAGTCCACGACGATATAAAATAAATGAATGAATATTACGACTGTATGGATTCTCCATATACCTCAGGGTCGTTACGATACGACCGGTCGGTTCTCAATCAGAGAATAAATTCCATTCGTATGCCGATATCGAGTTTGCGAGTCGTGCCAATAGAAATCTCTCGCTTCTATCGTATTCATTCAGTAAGATTAAATAATTATTAGATTCTAACAGACAACTTGAATCATGATGAACAAATGAAAGTTACTCTGTGTCATCCAAAAATTTTGTCAGACTCGATCTTTGCTGAATGGAATTGACATAAGACAATACAAAATGTAAGTCTAAGGGAGATACTGCTTATTACATGAGATTAAGAGAAAAGAAGAGAAAGAGGGAGCGAACATAACACCATCTCTTAAATAGCTTTAAGCTGTGTATGTTGTTTTGCATTTAGTATCATACATCTGATAACAATTCATAACAAGAAACTATGAACTTAAATCAAATAGTAAAAGACGTTACCTTTGACAGGAATGATGACAAATTGTATATATGTTCAAGTGCAAGTCCGTGTCGCGTGTATTTTGGATATGTACTTACCTATATTGAATAAAAGTCATTCTTATATAATTTGAAAATTCACTGATTCTATTATTTATAAATAAGAATAGCATGTTAATCTTGACATGAAGGACAAAGTATTTAAGAATTGTAGGTAAATCATTACCACAAAGTATTCAAAGCATTAATTTAATCATAAATCAGTTATGTTTAACTAAATATACTTTTACGTCACTATACACAAGTGTAAATGATTATGTCAATAGACTGTTGCAGAAGTGTTATTCTTTACTTTCATATTGCATAAAGTCTTAAGAAACCCATATTTCTTCACTTGGAATAGATACGACTATGATTAAATATGAGATGAAACATCAGTGTGCGGTTTCTTGCTGAACCGACAAACATACAGAGTGCAAAAACATTTTCTTGAAAAAAAAGCATGTATACAAATTGTTCTCACCAACTGCTATAATTCATCATCAGAATCCAGTGCTGCTCTACGTCTGTCAAACTGTAATATATCATATACAATTATCAAATTGAAAAATAAAGTGCATTGAAAATCCAATAACCAATACAAACCTTAACAGTTGTTGTACGTCGCGTCTGCTGGTTAACGCTTTCCAAAAGCCCAATGAGTTCTTTCTCCCCAAGTTTACCAGGTAGTTGCCCTCGTTGTGCCATATTCAATAACATTTCTTCCACCATTTTACCTTTTTCAGGTTTTCCCAAACATAGTGTATTTACTACACAAAGAAAAATAGATAATCGATTTGTAATATTTTGGAGAGATCAAGGCATCATTTGATATCAAAGTAAAAAAGCTTACATCTAGCTCTTGCTGACTGATCGAGGACTTGCGTAAGAATGGAGTGACGCATTTCTTCTATTTGCTGTCTTTTCTCTTCAGCAGCTTGCTGTTGATTCGCCCCATCATTACCCTTAATAAATTTTTTTTTAATTAGATCTTGAAATGGTAAAAACAAGTAAAAATTGATAGAAGAACAAATAACCTTACAGCCGGGAATTTGACGTTTGACATTTACTACACGTATTTTTATTTTTGTTAATTTGATCTATTTTCCTTACATTTCTCAAAATAACTATGTTGAACATCATTTAAATACGAGTATTACCTTAAATTGGGATTGTAATTGCGTTAAACGCTGTTGACGAATTGCTTCCAGTTCTGGATCAGACATTTTTTCATTAAATATGCTAAAATCCGATTGCGTTTAACCCATCGAAATGTAAGTATACAGAAACGCGTACGGCATT